CGGCTGGGTGGGCCTCGCGCCCCCGGCACCGCCTTCGGATCGATCCAGCTCGAACTGTAGCTGGCGAGCCACCTGGCTCCTGGTGTTCCTCGACGGCGTGTCGGCTGCTGAGAGTCGTTGACGCGATGTGGAGGGCGTACCTGGGCGGTCGTTGCCCATCCGCTCCTAGGAAGGGCAGAATCTGGCCGCGGGTAGGCACCGTGGTACGTCCCGCTAGGCCAGAGGGAGATCCTGCGTCGCACTCCGCACTCACAGCCCACTTAATAGAGGTTTTCACTTTTCATCACCCAGCACTTGGGACGCTCCCCTCGTCGGAGCGTCCTGAGTCGCGGTCACGGCGAAACTGAGCCGTTAACGTCGGCCGAGGGCCCGCGCAGGGGCCTAGGCCGCTTCCCATTGGTCGGCCGCGCTGACGTCATGTCGGCAGCCGTTAGAAAGCGCGCGAAAAACGGCGTTGCTTCCTTGTTCAATGAGTGTAAAAGGGGTGTTTCCAGAAAGTTCTTATCCCGATCTATTCCCTTATTACACCCGATCTGGGCATCGCCATTTGGTGTACAGATGGTGTTTCAACGATGGTGTTCGTATAGTGTAAAAAGGGTGTTTCCAGAAAGTTCTTATCCCGATCTATTCCCTTATTACACCCCGATCTGGGCATCGCCGCCCTAGGTGTACAGGTGGTGTTTCAACGATGGTGTTCGTATAGTGTAAAAGGAGTGTTTCCAGAAAGTTCTTATCCCGATATATTCCCTTATTACACCCCGATCTGGGCATCGCCATATGGTGTACAGATGGTGTTTCAACGATGGTGTTCGTATAGTGTAAAAAGGGTGTTTCCAGAAAGTTCTTATCCCGATCTATTCCCTTATTACACCCCGATCTGGGCATCACCTAGGTGTACAGATGGTGTTTCAACGAGGGTGTTCGCCTGGTGTGTTGATGGTATATTTAGCGGATCGGTGTATGAGCGGTGTTAAAAAGGTTCATGGGTGCAAACAGGGACTAACAACGGTGTATAATGGGCATCAGGTTGGCGTACTTCTGGTGCATATCTGGTGTAAAGTGGGTGTAATCCCAACTTAAGGTGTCAATGGGGTGTAAATCGTGTTTTCAGTGTATGCATTCTTTGCTAAACCAAAACTCCGCGAGAGGTGCCTATGCATTCTTTGCTAAAGCAGAAGCCCTCCTGCCATCCAGAGATGCAGGATAGCCTCCAAAATATCGCCTCCGGGCAGCCGAGCGCTGGGCGACCCGACCGACACTCAGGGGCGGATCCAGGAAAACTCCAAGGGGAGGGTCATGAATCGAAGTGGTGCCCCTACCTATACCCAAAATTAAAAACTCAACGGATTTCGTCCACTTCATTTTGGTGGTGCCCCCATTTTCAGTTTTTTTTCTTTTTATTTTTTATTTTTAGTCAGTATCTTAACTCTTAGCCACAACCACATTTACCAATTGTAAGCAAGTATATATGAATGTGCTATGTGCATAGATGCTATGTGTATATATGTTGTGGACGCTGAGTAGTGAGTACTTACCAGGGACGTTATCAGGTAAGCAAATCGTTGTCAGTCCGACGAACTTGACCCTGGCGTCTAAAGGGTCTGTCCTTGACACTTCAGGCTTGTCAGGGGCACCAAAGTCCTTCCAGGGACACCACAAACCTTTCAGGGGCACCTACGGCCTTGTAGGGGCGCCACAGGCCCGCCAGGGGCACCACAGGCCTGCCAGGAAGTAGGGGCACCACAGGTCTAGCAAGTATACACGACAGGCCTGTCAGGGGCACAACGGACCTGTTGGGCCCATGAGCACCCCTAGGGGCAGGGGCACCACAGTCCTTCCAGGGGCACCGCAGGCCTGTGAGGGGCACCAGCGGCCTAGCAGGGGCACCAGTCAACACAGGCCTGCCAGGGGCACCACAGACCTGCAAGGGGCACCAGAGGTCTGCCAGGAGCACCACCGACCTCGCAGGGGTAACTTGGGCCTGTCAGGGGCCAGGGGCACCACGGGCCTGTCGAGAGGCACTTCAGGCTTTTCAGGGGCACCATAGTCCTCTCCGGGCGCAGGGATAGCAGGGGCACCAGAGGCCTGCCAGGGGCACTACAGGCCTAGCAAGGGCACCACTGGTCTATCAGGGGCACCACGAGCCTGTCATAGCCAGGCATCTCAGGCTTGTCAAGGCCCAGGGGCACCACAGGTCTGTGAGGGGCACCAGCGACCTAGCAGGGGCACCAGTCAACACAGGTCTGCCAGGGGCGCCACAGACCTGCCAGGGGCACCACAGACCTGCCAGGGGCACCAGAGGTCTGCCAGGGGCACCACCGGCCTCGCAGGGGCACCTTGAGCTTGTCAGGGGCACCACGGGCCTGCCGAGGGGCACTTCAGACTTTTCAGGGGCACCAGTCCTCTCCGGGCGCAGGGGTACCAGCGGCCTAGCAAGGGCACCAGAGGCCTGCCAGGGGCACCAGCGGCCTAGCAAGGGCACCAGAGGCCTGCCAGGGGCACCACAGGCCTAACAAGGGCACCACGGGCCTGTCAGGGGCACCTCAGGCTTGTCAGGGCCCAGGGACACCACAGTCTTTCCAAGGGCACCGCAAGCCTGTCAGGGGCACCAGAGGCCTGCCAGGGGCACCACAGGCCTAGCAAGGGCACCACTGGCCTGTCAGGGGCACCTCAGGCTTGTCAGGGCCCAGGGGCACCACAGTCCTTCCAGGGGCATTACAAGCCTGTCAGGGGCACCAGAGGCCTAGCAAGGGCACCACAGGCCTGCCATGGACACCACAGGCCTGCCAGGGGCACCACCGCCCTTGCAGGGGCGCCTCAGGCCTGTCAGGGGCACCACGTGCCTACCGGGGACACTTCAGGCTTGTCAGGGGCGTTACAGTCCTGTCAGGGCCCAGGGGCACCAGGCCCGTGGTGTCCCTGCTAGGCCTGTGGTGCCCCTGGCGGTCCTGTGGTGCCCCTGTCAGGACTGCGATACCCCTGATAGGCCGGTGGTGCCCCTGGCAGGTCTTTGGGCCCCCGGGCCTCAAGGGGGGGCCATGACCCATGTGACCCCCCTTGGATCCGCCCCTGCCGACACTAATGATGTACGGGCCGTGCCAATATCTCGCCATTAGTGAGCCATGGCGTGCCGATAGGGTGGTGACCTGAGGCCGTAATGGGCCTGCTCCACATCACACACATCAGCGCCGTCAGACGACGTCACTCAGCCGCTAACGATCGCCGACAGTCGTCTGTGGGCGGGCGCAGGATTGTCCCGCACCGCGGGCACTATTTCTGGTCTGTTTTACCCCCGTCTCTTCCATATCAAAGGTTGGGAGATATCGCTGGGCGATGGACATGTTGACATTGATATTTGATACCCATAGTTTGATGATGAATTTTTATTTTTGGTTGTCTCATACGCAGGTCTTGTCTGGGCCGTGTGTCCATCATAATGAAAATGTATATACCTACGCAGAAAAGCAGACTATTTGAGGTAAATTCCCATCGTTATGTAAAAGTTCCACAAAAGGTAAAATATTTTCCATCATTTTGCGACTGATATGTCTGTCATCTTTGTACGTGGTATAAATAAGGACTGCTCTTTGCTGAACAGATAAAGCTTGGTTTTTGCTTTCGTGCTTGAGCTAAGTTTATTTTGGGGTAATAGTTTTTACTGTTATTCGCACACACAAAAAATGGCAGAATATACCACACAAATTGATTGAAGATTAATAAATGAAATTATAAAAAGCTGATTAGAAACAGCAAAACCGTACCAAGCTCACTGAAAAAAAGTGAAAAACATGCAGAGTAGCTTGAGACTTCCCTCAACATTTCATCTCCATGGCTCACATATATGTATACAGCCAACGTCACAACTCAAACCTCGACTTTCCCGTTTACGAGCTTTGCGTACTGGCCGGACTCGGCACAACTGTCCTCAAGCAGCGATCCCCCATTTGGCACGTGTCACGGTCTCCGCCAATCAGAAGCGTCAATAGTCAATAGTCAATAGTCAGGTCAAAGGGCACATTTGTCCGTGTAATATGCCGTTGTCCGGCAAAGCATGTGTTTGGGGCGTGATGGGCAGAGACAGGATGTTTTGTCCGTGCAATCATCGTAATTAGGACAGGTGAAGCTATTGAAAACAGTAGTCATGGGGTAGCGTAAATAGTTATTTGGGGCATTCTTGCATATATGCTCTGAATGTTTGGTTTAGAATCATTGTAAAATCCACGACTTGCTGGAAGTTCAAGAACAGAGCTATTTTTAATGTATAACGTTTCTTTTTTGTGATTCCCTCCCGAAGGTCATGCAGGCAGGCAGACTTAGTGATGGGTGGCTCCAGCTGAGTTACGGTGAAGATAGTGGCTCGCAACATGTCTAATCACTAAAAGGTAAAATCGTTGGTCACTGGTCAATAACTGATTAGTGATTACATGATCGTGTTTCAGGGGTATACATACCTCCATTTCCCTATAACTGGAACAGCCAACCACACCTCTCAGATAATATCCAATTAAATTAATGACAACAATGTTCTTCGAATATGTAGGAAATCCAAGCAATTCTCTTTGTTAGCGCATAATTGCGATCAACTGTCACGCCATCGCACCCAATACCATCAATTATCCCAACATTGCACACCACAAAAACAACACAGCCGAACGTGGACAACACTGGGGAAGACCATATATGGACAACGTCGCGCGTCAGGGAGCTTGGCAACAACGGTTACCTTGGGGACAACGGACATCTCGTGTATAATTGACACGCCTTGGATTGCGGACAGCCCCGGGACAACAGACAACCATGGATATCAGGCACTTCATCGGACACAGCTCGGGAACATCGGACAGCTCTCTGGGAGCAGTGGGAAACCCCTGGACAGCTGACAACTTGGGACGGCGAACAGCTGGGGACTTTACACAAATCTGGGAACGACGGCAGCCAGCACGGTAGACAGCGGGCAACGTCGCGCGTGGCAGACAGCTCTGAGACACCGGACAACTCACCAGTCCGCGCGAGTCCGGCAGGTTCTCCCCCCGGCGCAAGAAGACGGTCATCCTGCCCTGTGCGTGGCTGTAGCGCAGGCTGAGCAGCAGCTGCCCCAGGGTCGGAGGAGACAGACCGGCCTCGTCGGCGGCTGAGGTGTGACTCGGCTGCAGCTGCCGCGCACAGGAACAAGAAGAGTGGGGGGTGTTATTAGACTCGGTGATCAAACAGACTGTTCACACAATACGTTTGGCTAAAATCTTACATTTTTGTGTTTTCTTGGGTACATGGATTTAAATAATACATTGCGCTATTTCCTATCTTCAGGCTTACTCAATTCCTTTTAATTGCTGGCATTTCAGCTTAACTCAATGACTTCTACAAAAAAAGAGGTTGATATGATTTCAAGCGTATTCCTATAGCTCTTTCATGTCATCGATAAGCTAGCGCTCAATCCTGGAATTCAAATTCCGTTGCAATGAATACGGGACTGAGAATTGTGGCTGAGGTGCTGTACATGAATACAATCTCGTTCTTATGCATTGTCAGCCATGGCACATTTCAAAAGAGCGACTGTTCGAAACCCGAGAGAATTCCTGTGTTGCCATCTATTCGTGGCGAGGCGAATTTTATGTAAATTTGTGCCGCTCAACCGGACGCAAGAGAGCGGAGTGGTGGCCCGGTGGCGGCCCACGTTTCTGTTTGTAGTGAACACTCGTAGCGAGACTCGTAACGAGCTCAGCGGGAACTCGTCAAAAATGAGATTCGTTTGGCTAATCGAACACCTTCTCCAATTCAAACACCTTTATGAACAAGTATACCTTTAGGTACATTCTACGCTGGTATGAATTTAACTGCACCTCTCGCTCATAATGCCTTTTTAACTACGCTTATAGGTATAGTTAAATAGTCTTCCAAACTTGGAATAGTGCTCATCTCATAGCTCCCAGACAATGTGGAGCTCATGCTAATAGCACAGAGCTTATTACGCAAATCCTGGTAAGCGAGGCAGCATATTACTAACAGCATGTTAGCTATCCATTTTAGCCACCAGATAGTTAAGCAGCCATCAGGAAAATCCCACTACCTCCAAAATATTACTTAAATAACGAGCCAGCAAATCTTATGTTGCAAAGCACAAATGACGAGGCGAAGGAAGTCTGGCATTCTTTCCATTGACCGGTATTACTGTTTCCTGCTTCATTAGTAGGTAAAGGTAAGACAAGGTTACTGCACTAACCGGGATCGTCCTCTTTTTGCCGGGCTTGCTGAAGATGACGTTACAGGCGGCCGGTGTGCCAGAGGCCAGGCCGAGCTCCGCCAGTCTGACGCTGCCCTCGCCGACCAGCTTCTCGGTGAGGTTGCTGTAGCGCTTGACGTACAGGTGGCAGCTGAGCTGGCCCTGGTCCAGCCAGTCGGCCTCCACGCCGGCAAACGTCAGCACCTGCTGCTGCTGCTGCTGCTGCTGCTGACCGTCCAGCTGCAGCGGTCGCGACTCCTGTTGTTGACCGAGCACCGTTAGACGCACCAGGAACGGCCGGTCCCGGTACCGCAGAGGCGGGTTCAGCAGACGGTTCAGACACACGGTTAGAGACCGGTTTACCGCCGTGTAGACCACGTGGAACTCGAGCCGAGGGCGCACCTGCACAGCCCGAGAGCCCTGTCGACCGAGAGGGGTGTCAAGATTATCGGATAGGACCACCGAACTGAACAATTTTAATTACTTGTCGACGCTTTTCAGGTACTGCAAATAACCAAAAATTACGAGGCAATGAAAAAAGATTGATTACCTATCTGAGCGAGGCTCCAAGGTCATAGTAATAATAAATTGAAAGCCACCAAGTGAAGGTATAAAAACGCAACTGGTTACATAAACTTAAAAGCATGCCTTTTTATTTCACGTGAGTGCATTTTCTAACCCACACGAGTGAGCATCGGTCGACGACAAATGTAATATAACTGAGTCCTATGGTTATAATAATGTGCCACAATAAGCTAGCTTCCAATTAATAACTCTTCCGGTGCGGCAGTGAAAATAGACCAGAGCAACCACATTGCACACTGCAGCAATGATACAAAGACGCACCTACAAAGATAAGGGGTCACCCACACCACTGATGGCAATTTTAATCCATTGCCTCTGGGAAGTATAATAGCGTTGTGGGTTGTATTTTATTGCAGTTTAATAATTGTCACGGGCGACGGTACAAGGTGATCAGAAACGTAATTGGAAACGAGATAAGGCTATACAAATACCGACTGCGATTGGTAATTACGATTGCCAATTTGTAACGCACGTCAGTGTTGTCTTCTTTCTTTCCTCCATTTCCAGCTGGTATCCACCAGTTTCTCGTGAAGTTTTTTCAGTATTTACGCATTTTTACACCAGTAAGTATCATCCATGATCCTCCTTGATCAGTTGTCATCCGCCAGAAAGTGGATACAAGTGGCAGATAAATCTTAAAACGCTCAACTCTCGTCGCCGAAAAAAAAAAATATTGGCATTGGTCACAGATAACAGTAGTACTACTGTTACTACTGTACTACTGTTATCTGTGCATTGGTATATATAGGCCCTTGATTGTCATTATATATACGGAGGACAGGGATAATGTTAGTAAAGAAATATTGATGGAGAAAGGTCGCTCGTGTGCATCGATCTCTCATGACTCATTTAAGCAGATACCTACTATTATTTTCTACCACCTTTTTTAAATTTTATCACCTCTTCTTATAGCCGCTCTCATAGCCGACGCACAAATTGCAAGCAGCATGCAGCAGCATCTGGTCTTTCGCACTATCCCCACATCCCTTGCTCTCCTTCATTCTATATGTCCCTCCCCTTCCTCCTCCTCCACATTCTTCCCAAGCTCCACTGTCTCCCCCGCTATCCTCACATTATCTATCCACCTTTCATTTTTTCTTTCCCCTTCTACCTTCCTTTCTTTTCCTTCTCTGTCCCCACCGTCCTCCTCAAGATTACTTTACGTCCTCCTCACCTGTCCCTCCTCGTCGGACGCAATTGAGGACTGTTCAGAAGGCGACACGGACTCCTCGCCCCCATCCCGCGCTACCGTGGGCATGTAGCCCGGCTTCGCTCCCGGCTCCAGCACCAGATGTTCCATGGATCGGGAGAGCGCAGCTCGCAGGAGCTCCTGACTCTTGATCTGACCGTGACGACGTTCATACTGCTCCAGGAAGAGGTCGGCACCGACCTCTGCTGGCTGCACGGGCACACCCACAGTGCTGTGCAGAGGGTGGCGCTTCACGGTGCGGACGGACAGGCGTCTCTCTTTCTCCGCCAGGGGCTTCCTCCGGCGTCGGCGCCAGCGGCGGCAGAGAAGAACCACGGTCAGTAGCAGCAGCGCGGCCACCAGACCGGCTACGCAGCCCAGAAGTATGGACAGGTCACGACCTGGTGGGGACAGGTCACAGAGGTCAGTCAGCAGCGCGGCTACTAGGCCGGCCACGCACCCCAGCACAATGGACAGGTCACGACCTTATGGGGACAGGTCACAGAGGTCAGTCAGCAGCGCGATGGACAGGTCACGACCTGGTGGGGACAGGTCACTGAGGTCAGTGGCTGGTAGTGGTTGCGGGCGGTGCAATCACTGACGGAAGACAAGGAACGGGATGCATGCTTGACTGGTATAAACAGATATACATATGTTCCTTCAAAGCATCTGCTTATGTATACCTAGTTGGAAGTTCGCGATGTACCCGAAAGCTCTTTTTACGGGAGCAAAAGCTATCAACTATAAACAAAATTACTGCAGCTTTATTATCAACCATATTGGCAGGACAGCCTGCAAGATGTCCTGCCAAACATCATAAAATGTCTGTTTGGTTCGGTGCCAGCCGGTTTTGATTTCCCCCGGCGCGCTGGCCGATGATAAAAGCGGCATTCGTGTCAACACAGAAGCGAAGCGATGTTGGGTCCCTGCGGTCAGCTAGGTTTAAGGTGAACATGCTTCTGCTGGGGTTTAGGAGCAGGGTTGTATACCAATCAAGTCGATTGAATTGATTGATTTGTTTCAACGCATATTTTGAGTTGATTGGATTGAGTCGATTGACTTTTCGAGATGACTGGTTGACTGACTCGTTTGACTTTAGCGACTGGTTGACTGATTTGATTCCCGAAAATTAAAGTGACTCGTATGATTGAGTCGATTGAATGGAAAGTTCAAATAAGTTTTACTTGACGAAAAATAATGACACCAATTGATGACACCAAAGATCACAAAACTACACTGAAAACTGCTTGTCATCACAACTGCAATATGGCGTAGATGGCCAAATAAAGAACAGGGCCTAAACAACATGAACAGCCAACGTTGACTTTCAACTGCAATAACTGCTCCAATCCTGGTGATAGAACCTGGCGATGCACCTACCTTCCTTTCAGCACTCAGCAGGAAACGTTGTTTTTTTTTTTTAATCCAGATGATAAAGTGCAAGGCCCTATATACTAATAAAGTGTGATTGATTAATAATTCACATCTCCACATCTCCTCAGAAACAACCCACTGAACTCTATAAATATCTGAAACCCCTATAAAAATAACTGAAACAAAAGCGCCGTTTTCGTATCGCTGATTACGTTTACGTACAATTGATAGCTACTTTGCTGCATTGTTTAACCCACGAGCCGCTGGGGGGGGGGGGCATAAAGTTGCCCCCTTTACGTTTTGTGAAATATCTCCGAAACCCGATGAGCTACGAACGTGAAACTTGGCATAGCTTCAAATGAATACCTAGGCAATGTTTGGGGAAAGTTTGGTGTTTGTAGCACCTAAGATGACGTCACAGTGACGTCATAAAGTTTTGTCGTTTTCCGATATGGACCGTTTCTGATGACGCTGAGCATGAAACTCGACTGTAAATGAACTAGACAGCACCTGCTGTCATCCTAAAATATCTTACTACACTTCCATCTAGTTTCTGACCAATAATCGGCCCTTTATATTCGGTCCCATATATCTGATGTATCGTGAGGAATATGAGAGTCGCAAATCTATAATTTCACTTATGACGTCACTGTGACGTCATTTCAAATGGGATCGACACCAAATTCGGACGAAACCTCGGCTAGGTATTCAGGAAGATGTGTGCAAAGTTTCGCTTCTCTATCTCTTCGCGTTGCGACGATATCGTCGCAGAAGTAAGGGGGGGCAACTTTATGCCCCCCCAGCGGCCGGCGGGTGGCGCGGAGGCCCAGCGGCCGCCGGGTTAATTTGCAGCAGAACGTTTGTTAATCCTTTTCTCCTGAGAGCCTAAGCATAACATATTTAATATATTTCATTTTCCTTAAAATATTTTACCGAATATTATTAAGTGTTTTTATTTCAAATGAAATAATAATTAAAACGAAATTGGTGCTGTACAACCGATTTATTTTATGATGATCTACCATACTACATGATAATCAATGACGTCATCTTACAAAAAAGTCAAAAGAAGTAGAATAAGGATTTATAAAAGCTTAGAATACTTATTGGCAAAACCAAACGTTTTCGTTGTTTCGCAGTCGCTCCGTGCCGTTTTCCCAGAGTCCCTGTCCTCTCCATTTCCTTTTAACCCGCGCACCGACGGGGGGGGCGGATATCCGCCCCCCCCCCCTGAGGTTTTTCGCGAATAGCGGGAAAACCGCGGCGCGTAGCGCCGCAAAATTTGGTATGACTATTCCCTCATCAATTTTACACATGGTGTGCAAGTTTGAACCTCCTACCTTTCAAGGTCAGGTCACCAGGTCACTTTGAATGACCCAACCTCAAGTCACTTTTTTGCAACTTTGTCACCGTGCCAGAGCTACAGTAGATGTCGGAGGCCTTTGAAAGTCGCAGGATGTTATTAGGTCATTAGTAGCTACAATTTGTATATCTCGGAATTTTGATATCGGTGACCTAAGGTCAGGTCAATTTCGCGACCTCCCCATTATAAGGCAATGGGGGGAAAATCAACTCCCTGTTTTTACCACTAAAACGGGTCGGAATGGCCCCATATACCATACATGACTTCATATACGATCAACCTTCACTACCTTGAGGTCTGTTTTGCTGTTGGGCAGCTGTGAGGTCATGTGACGTCATCAAAGGTCACCAAAGGTTTTTGGCCAATAACTCCGTACAGGAACAAGATACAGACGCGTGGATGGTCTCATTGTGTTCAGCTCGTCAAGACGCATCGAATGATATACATGATGACCTCGAGGTCACGTGACCTGAGGTCAACCTTTGACCTTGACCTTTCGAGGTCAACATATATATCATTCGATGCGGATTGACGAGAGGATCACGATGATGCCCTTAGTTTGTTCCTATCTTGACTAATTCGAAAGTTATTCGAGAAAAACTCTCTCCATATCTAGCGCCGCCATTTTGACTTTTTCGACCCCTGTGACGTCATCTTTGACCTGACCTGAAAATGACCTTAGTAAAAATTGTAGATCTTGACCGTGCGTATGCGATGCCGTTTACCGCTTGTCGCTAGCTTGCTTCGTTCTCGAGATCTCAGGGGGGGCTGTCATCCGCCCCCCCCCCCCGTCGGTGCGAAGTTGGCGCAGACCCCCGTCGGTGCGCGGGTTAAATATATTTTTAATCCTCATCCCTATCCCCCAGTCCTAATAGTTTCAAATTGTATTGCAATAAAATGTTTTGAATTCTTCACATAGGTACCTAACATTGACATGCCACGTCCAGAATCGTGGACCGCTAAATACTTCAAATCTCTTCCTTCCCAATCTGACAACATCCCATGTCTCAAATGCACATTGTGTGGAATGATTTTTTAGGCTGCCCGTCAGTCTCTGTCTAACCGAAACCGTCACATGCATGATGCAGGTAAGATGTTTATTTCTATTTCCCTATGGTTAATATGTTATTGATGCATATTATCCATTAAAATAGACATGGTGTAGGGTAAATGGCCAAATCACGAACACTGCCAAAATCCGAGCAGCCAACTTTCAACTGCAATATCTGATATTTAGTGTAAATGGAGTTGGAATATGGCCAAAATCAAATTGACAACTTTTAGGTGAAATGTGGTGATTTGGGTTAAGGGGCGAGTCAACTACTGGGTCATTTTGCACCCAATAAATGACACTTCTGCTCCAATGCTACCCATTGAACCTCAATATCATGATCCACCTGTCCATCACTAGGTATCCTTCCTTATTACATAGAAACTTTGAATGGCATGGCAATTTATAATTTTAAATGACAATATTTTTATGTTTCTTCTGTAGGTAGGTAGGTAGGTAGGTAGGTAGGTAGGTAGGTAGGTACACCAGACTGCTATGGACACTTTTCCAAGTTGGTGGGGCAAAAAACCTAATGTATGTCTTGGTTTGAGTCGTTTGATTGAGTTGATTGATTCCTTTCATTGTCGCGTTTGAGTCGATTGAATCAATTCCCGAAAACTGCTCTGACTTGATTGATTTGATTGGTTTCCCAAATTTGTCGTGATTGAATTGATTGCTATTGATTGAGTCGTATACAACCCTGTTTAGGAGGAGGGGAGACATTTATCAATCTCGGGGATGGGGGACAGTCTAACACACAGCTGAGCATTGGCAGTGCATAGGCTTCACCCGACAGGTCCTTGTCTGTCCTAAGGCGATTGGAACAATCTGATGAGAAGTTTATTCTAGGTGAAGCCCATATAGTGTCAGTAGAGCTATAGGATGTTTTCACGGCCTCTGTCAGTCGTAAGGCATTGGCCTGTGCAGGGTTTTTTAGCTGATGCCACAAAAGTTGTAAAAGTAATCAGGCCATCCATCCATTTAATTATTCGGATTAAATTTCCTCCAAAACTCTGCTGCTGTCGTGCATAATGCGTAGTGTCTCCGCGAGCATGGTATTTGTTCGGTATTCTGTTTGGCGGAAACCATACAAACAATTTCGTATCTTTGTTTATAGAATGGTCGATGCGTTGAGCGCCATTCACATCTGATACTTGAACAACAATGTAATTCTATCCCACATCTGCTGAAAGCTGGAAATGCGGTCCGTTCAAAACAGGCGCTCCACACGTGGCTTTCGGAGAAATAACAGATAAACAGAACGGGGTAAAATCCCGCGAAAACTGGCTTTATCAAAAACCACTTCATACCACCAAAGGACAAGTCACAGAGATAGCTTCCCCGAAATGTTTGCCGCATCCATCCCATTCAATGTCAGTCTTTGGTCGTTAGAGGTGGCTGAGCCAGGTGCACAGACAAACTTTGGCAATACATTTACCGTCCCTGAGTGCCGACACAGCTCGAAAGTTCGTGACTATCGCAAGGATTAGCATATCGGAGTTCAGTTCATTGCAGTATACCTGAAGGGTGTACTGTAAGCTGTAAGCTATACTGTAAGCTTACTGTAAGGGTATACTGAAGGGTACACGTTGGCAGGGACGAATGTACCAGGT